AAAATGCCTTTTAAAAATTACTGTGTTTTTGCAAATTGACCCAGACACTCTGAGATCTCAAAAGCTTACACCTGTCATCTCTATAGTACAAACTCCTTAGGGACACATAGCACCCCTACCCCTTCCTTTCCTGTTCATCAATTTGTCAAATACAACCCTAGTCAAGACTAGCAGATAGATTTTTACACACATGCCCTGCCACAAAACTCGCAAATATCTTCTCACCTTGTTTGTACTGTTTCAGTATAGATAAAAGCCTTTCCCCCAACCAGGGAGATTGCTGATATATTACTAAAGTTCTGTTACAGGAAATCATCCCAAGGACTACAACCAAGGTGGAGTGGGCCCTATCTGGTCTTCTTGGCAACCCCAACAGCAGTCAAAGTTGCTGGACTCCCATCCTGGTTTCACATCACTCAGGCTAAGCGGTGCCCTCCCAGCCCTAAATCTAACCATCCTGAGTGGTCATCTCATCTTCTGTCGCCCACCCATCTCCATCTCACTAAGGCCTCACAGCCACAAGTCTCAGGCTAAGTCAAGTTTTGTTATCCAATTTGGTTCTTAATTTCTTACATTCTATTAATTATCTTTTTTACAGCAGGACTCTTAACAGTCTTTCCTAAAGACTCCAACATCATGCAGATCATCTTCATATTCTACATGACAACTGTCTTAGTTCTCTCTACCCTCAGTTGTTTAGTCAAACGTGAGATCCCTAAAGGCCTAAGCTCTTACCTTCCTTATAGAGACGCAGCCTCGGCCTGCCCCATCCCTCTAATTCTTTCCAGCTCAACTCCTGGACCAGAGAAAAGCCCTACCTACCTACACTCTTAACTTTTACCCTTTTAGATTGGGGTATAATCACCTCTCATAACTTCACTCCTCCTAACCCCACACTTGGTTTTTCAGAATCCTATCTCACTGTGGTAATGATTCTACCTCACCGTGGTCCTGATAAAATGACATATCTAAATCAAAGGCACTTTTCCTTCCACCTCACCTGGGTCCTTAAATATGATAGTGGCCTGCCTCCTCTTAGCACCTTGTCTCTTTATTTTTCTAGTCTAACGTGCAGGCATTCACTAATGATAAAGTTGTCCTGGTTAAAACACCTGGCACCAGCTTCTGCATGGGCATCAACCATCATCCCATCAACCCTCCTAAACCCCAATACGGCGCCCCCTTTCAGCAGAAAATAGTAAGAGAGAAAAACTTCACCCTGTTCCTAACAATAAAAAGACGGGAATGAAAGGATTTTGCCCTAGATAGGACACTACAGCAGTGAGACATGGGGCCATGTACACTAGCAAAAAGAGCTTATGTTTGTATGACCAAAGTACCTGTAATACCACCGTACTGTTCTGTATGCGTTTTTTCCCCCTTTGGGTGACCTATTTGATATGTTAATCAATGCTTCCCTCTGTAAAGAATTGTAAGTCCCTGGGAACCTAACCTAATTGATATGTTAACCATTGTTGCCCTCTACAAATAACAGATGTGGTGCTAAAATAAGCTGACAAAGGATTGTTAATTACTGCTAGACTTCTCTGTCATCTGCTAAGGGAAAAATTTCCTTAGCAGATTTTCTGATCCATGCCCGTAACCCCTTACTTTGTAGATTGTGATATTTACAAAAAGGCTGCAAGTTTTGAGGGGAACACACAGCTCTTGCAAACTCCAACTGCACTGTGTTGCTGGGCCCAGGATAAAATAAATCAGCGCTGCTTTTCAAAAACATGTCTTGCCCATTTTTGAACTCAAGGTTGGGCTCTGGGGGGCTCATTTGTGGATTACAAGACCTTGAGGTCCTTTTCTAGGCAATTTACCTGTGGTGCTACTTGAGCATCAACAATGCCCCTTTAGGCAACACCCAGACCAAAGCAATATGTATGCCCCCCACATCATGTGTCCGGCAGAAAAAGCCAGAACCCAGTGGTTGTGGGATTCTCTCTGCATCCTTAAAGGCCACTTTTACTTTATATTTTGTCTTCTAATTGCACCAAAAATCCTATCAGTGGCAAATACACTTCTAGGCCTGCCTCTGAAGCAGGACCTAGTAGCCATCTTCAGGGTTCCTGGGTCAGGTTTTGGATCTTTGGTTCTTTATGGGGGTGGGGGTTCAACACCTTCTGGAAAGTTCTCTGGGATGGATACCCGGGCAGCAGCATCTCAAGAGAAAGGGAGCAGGCAGAAAAAAGATGAAGGATCTCAGTGGCTGCAGGAAGAAGACCAAGCTAGAATAGAGGGGCCCCTCTTCATGACAAAGAACCCTCACCTGGAGGCCAGAGGCTCACCTGTCCCAGGGGATCATCCTGTTTCTGCTGCCAGCTACCCCTAGGCCTGTTCTAACAAGTTCCCCAGTAAGGAAAGATGTCACCACCCCATGATGACAGCTCCTCCTCCTCTTCCCTCCCCCACCCACCCCTTTTGTGGGTGCTTTCTGGTGCCAGTCCACCCTCCACACAATCCTGAGCCCACAACTGTCATCTGCCACTGCCTCTCTGGTGTCCTGGCCTTTGTACTTATGTTCAGTCATCTTTGCTGCCATGGGGAGGGGGCCAAGATGCCTGCAGCTGAGCCCTGCTTCCTGCTCCACCTGTGCTGAGCACTCAGGAGCTCTCCCGTTCTTTCTGCTTGAAATGCATCCCAAAGTACAGGCTTGATGAGCTGCTAACTCACCTCAGGGCTCAGCCTAGCAACACTGCTAGACCTGGGGAGTCTGGAAGTCAGGCCAGCTGGCCCCTGCTCCCCACTGTCATGCTGTGTCTTGGGGGACATGAACACAATGCCTGCTCTCCTGGGTACCTGCGGAAGTGTGAAGGAGCAAGTGAATGGAGGACAGGAGGGGAGACTTTTTAATGAAGACCAGGCCAGATTAGGCAGTAGAGTAAAGGACAGATGTGACTCAAATATTACTCAAATGTTCTTGTCCCGGGAAGTAGAGATGTCTTGTCATTGTCCACAACTGTGGCAGAGCTGGGCTAGGTCTTGGGCCTGGACCAAGGAAGCACACGTCCTATTCCCACTGCATCATGGGAGATGGGGCCTGATGCTCCATAGGCAGAGGCACTTGGGGCCAGGGAACCCTTCACTGCTGCAGGGCAGAGTGCACTGGGGGCCAGGGAACCCTTCACTGCTGCAGGGCAGAGTGCACTGGGGGCCAGGGAACCCTTCACTGCTGCAGGGCAGAGTGCACTAGGGGCCAGGGAACCCTTCACTGCTGCAGGGCAGAGTGCACTGGGGGCTAGAGAACCCTTCACTGCGGCAGGACATAGTTTTAGGCTTTTTTTTTTTTTTTTTTTTTTGGTCAGTGTGGGTTCACTATGCTGGCATTGATGCTGTGAAGGCTGGCCTTGGATTTGTGGCAATCCTGGGGGTGTAGCTGAGCTGGGGGTGTAGCTCAGTGAGAAGCCCTGGGTTCAATGCCCAAGACTGGAAAACAAAACTAAACACAAAACAAAACCAAAGTATCCCAGCATGATGGCTGCAGTCCTAGCACTCAGGAGGGACAAGGAGCACGGTGGAATTGAAGCCAGCCTGGGATATACAGTGAATGCAAGTCCAGCCTGAACTGCAAAGTGAAGACTGTCTCAAAAACAAAAGCAGGGTGCCAGGGATTTAGCTCAGCAGCATAAGCGCCTGCCTTGCAAGTGCACAATCATGAGTTTGATCCCAATACCAAGAACAACAACAACAAAACAAAAGAGAAATTCACATGACAATTTACAAACTGAGAATGATATCTGCAGCATATTTTTGGTTTTTGTGACATTCCCTATTGAATCCAGGGCTTCACATATGCTAAGGCAAATGTTCTACTACTGAGCTACAATCCTAAATTTTTATCACTTTATTTTGAGACAGACTCTGAATTCTCAGGCTGGCCTTGAATTTTCTTTTCTTTTTTTTTTTTTTTTTTGGCTTTTTCGTTTTTATTGGTACTGGGGATCGAACTCACGACTGCCTGCTTTTTAAGGCAGGTGCTTATGCCGCTGAGCTAAACCTCCAGCCCCCTGGCCTTGAATTTTCAACCCTCCTGCCCCAGCCTCCCAAGTAACTGGAATTATAGGTATCTACCACAGTGCTCTGGCTTCTGCAACATATCTCAGGATTAATATCAAGAATGTACAAAGAGGGGCTGGGGATTTAGCTCAGCGGCATAAGCGCCTGTGTTGCAAGCAGGCAGTCTGAGTTCGATCCCTGGTACCGATAAAAATGAAAAAGACAAAAAAAAAAAAAAAAAAAAAAGAATGTACAAAGAACTCTCATGAGTCAATTAGAAAAAGAAAAGCAGGCAAAGAAAACAAACAAGAATAGAAAAAGCACAAGTGCCCCATAAATATATGAAAAGATATTTAACTTCATTAGCTATAAGTGAATAAACGTTATACCTCCTAAACTGGCAATATTTTAAAACTAGGGTAATGGTAAGCACTGGGGGAGACGTGGGGCAGTGTGAGAACTCTTATGTCCAGTCAGGGGTACAGATCAGCAGGCTGGTACCACAAGCAGAGGTGGGGCTGTCAATGGCCAGCACGAGCCCTTGCTTTGGTAGATATGGAATTAAAACAGAAGCACAAAATTATAGAAAATACTGTCACTGGAAAGTCAGAGGCAAGATAGGAGAAACTCTAGGTCAGGTAGCTGGAGGGGGCACACTCTGATATAAGGGTTCAGATCAGCCACCTGCAAAAGCAGGTGGCCAGTTTTCAAGGATTAGCTGGTAGAGTGGGGTTAGTTGGTCATTATGGTGGATTAACTAATGGTCAACTTGTAAGACTCAGCTGAACTGAATCAGCATGATGCTGGGTGTGGAAGGCCCACCGAAGAATTGTTGTCAGCAGCATTAAAGCAGAATTGGAGGGGATGATCCTGTGTGTTGATCCTTCTGGAGAAGCTTATCACACTGGCTTTTCTGGTATGAGCATGGCTGTTCTCAGCAGAGATCCTTGCTGTCACTGAGGTGGCTGTAGTTCTCTTTAGGGAGCTCTGGCCCTTACCTTGTGCATCACTTCCTGACTCCAGTGCAGATTCCTCAGGCTGCTGGCACAGATCCTTCATCCTGCTGACGCACTTTCTAGCTTCCACTACTGACCTTTGGACCTTCCCAGCACAGATCCTTGAGGGAGACTTGCATGAGACATTGTCATGGGCTCTAGGTCTTCAGCTGGACATTGCCACAGGATCCAAGCCCTAGGTTGGATTCTTTAAGTCTCTGCTGTGTGGCCAAATTTCCTGCGTTCTTCTGCATTTGACTCTCTGGGAAAATATTATAAAATAATCCTATTAATTATGTATCATGTATTAAACCCTTTCCCTGTAAACCCTGACCACAACAATCATTATCTCAGACCTGGTGCCTGGAAAATAAATTTCAAGCTTTGTTTCTGCCTTTAGTTACCCATGTTGGGCATCTGGCATCTGTAAGGTCAAGTGAACACTCATGCTTCATAGCAAAAACGGCTTTAAGTCCCTGATGTCCCAGGAGAAAAGATAAATTCATGCTCTGAGGGAGTAACATGCCTGTCCCCTGTCCGCACAGGAGGTCAGGACTGTGTCACAGGCTGCCCACTTCACAGCACCGACTAGGCTGCAAACAGGAGGCTCAGGCAAGGGAGGTGACTTTATTCGAAAAGCCTGCTCCGGACTCTGTCACAAAGCCCTTTCCATGGGATTTGGGAACTCAAAGAGCTTTTATGGAGAGGAAAATGAGGGACTATGAGATAGTGGGCAGGAAAGCTACCATCCTCTGGGGCAGTGTCCAGTCACAACTTGCAGTGGACCTTGGTGTGCAGCGGCTACTTCCTGCATTTTCTTCTCAGACTCATTGTTTTTCTGCAGTTTAGTTTCAAGCTTCATGTTAGCTGATAACATAGTACATGCTCCTTACCATAGAACTAAGCACTGAGGAGGAGATTACGAAGGTCACGGGTCACCTGATGTTCTGGATTTGGTAAAGAAAGATTTAATCACTTGGTGGGGCTTCTCTACCAAAAGGATTAGAGAAGAGCAGGAGAGCAAAAGACAATTTCATGGGAGGCCCTGCTACATGACTATTTTACTTCTATGAATCCTTGTTTTTATTTTTAGGGCCAACGATCGAGCCCAGGGACAGACACATACTAAGCATGCACTTAGCCACTGAGCTTTACCTCCAGCCTCTAAAGTACAATTTGCTTGACTGTTCTTTGTTTTTATGCCCAAGGTGGCCTCAAACTCCTGGGGGTCTTCTAGCCTCATCCTCCTGAGTGCTGAGATTACAGGGGCGCACCACCCCACCTAGCTGTGTACCTAATTTAGAAAATAAAATGACCCTTGGATACCCTCAAATGTTTATCTGTCTATGAACTCCACAGGCCTTTGACCCAGCAATGTTACATGCAATAGTACTTCCCTGGAATAGTACTTCCCAAGCTATAGCGAAGGACCAGTTTTGTGTTTGTTTTTTCTTTGCCTTTTTTTTGGGGGGGGGGTACCGGGGATCAAACTCACAAACTTGTGCTTGCCAGGCAGGTACTTAAACTGCTGAGCTAAATCCCCAGCCCCAAGTTTTGTTTTTGTTTTTGTTTCAAATCTATTTGGAGAATAATACTTTTGTAAGATATTTACAATAAAAACGAATTACCAAAAAATAGCAATGAGCCAATTGAGAACCCAGAAATTAATCCACAAACATACAGCCAACTGATTTTCAGCAAATGCAGCAAGGAAACAAACTGAAGAAAAGGCCATCTTTTCAGTAATCATGCCAAGGAAACTGACCAGCGGACAACGGAAGCTAGACGGCTGGGGATATTGCTCAGGGGCACTGCGCGTGCCTCACAAGAGTGAGGTCATGAGTTCGATTCTTGCTACAAAAAAAAACAATAAAGCTAGCATCCTACCTCTTGGCATATACAAATATCAACTCAAAAATGGATCAGAGACCTGAGTATAAGAACTCAAACCTTGGAACTACTGGAGGAAGACACAGAACACTTTGAGACACTGGTGTAAATGAAGGTATTTTGGATAAGATGCCCAAAGCACAGACACAAAAAATAAAAATAGTCAAATAGGATCATACCAAATTAAAAAGCTTCTTCACAGCAGTGGAGACAACAGTGTGAAAAAAACAACCTGCAGAATGTTTACAATCTATTTACAGTTTATTATCACAAAGGATTAATCCAAAGAACATATACTATAATATCCAAAGTACAAATAACAGCAGAAAAACAAATAACCCAACTGAAAAATGAGCAAAGGTATATAGCTCAGTGTCAGGATACTTGCCAGGTAAGCATAAGGCCTTGAGTTCAGTCCTCAGCACCAAAAAAATAAAATTAAAAATAAGTATAACTCCAGCACTTTGGGAGGTCAAGACAGAAGGATTGCAAATTTGAACTCACCTAACAAATTGGTGAGACTGTCTTGGGGGAAAAAAATCTGAAGCTATAGCTTGGTGTAAAGGCTTTAATTTCGATCCCCAGTACTGCAACCAATCTAACTAAAAATAGAATTACCGTATAATGTGCCAATCCAACTACTGATACATAGCCAAGAAAAATGAAATCATTATATCAAGGAAGTCGTATATTCCTGTGTTTATTGTAGCACTATTCACAACAGCCAAAACATAGAATCAAACAAGTTTCTATCAACAGATAAAAGAATGTAATATATATAGTATTATATATATATATATAATGTATATATAATATATATAACGGAATATTACCCAGCCATATAAAAGAATGAAATTCTGTCATTTGTGGCAAAGTGAATGAACTAAAGATCATTATGTTAAGTGAAATAATCCATACACAAAAAGGCAATATTGATTGTTCTCGTTCATTTGGAGAAGCTGCAAAAATGAATCTCATCCAACAAGCGAGTAGAATAGCAATCACTAAAGGATAGGAAGGGGAGGGGAGGAGAACAAAAAGTAAATGAAAAAGAGACACACAGTATATGAATCCTGGTACCTTGCTATTCTAATCAACAGACATGTTATTACTTGTGTACCCCAAGAGACACATTCAAAATGATTCCAGAAAACTGTGTTGTAATAGTGAAAACAAGAAGTGACCGGAATGTGGAGTCACAAGGGACTGGAGATAGTCATTCATGGTATGATCACATGATAGACCTTTCAGAGTTATGAAAATGGGTAAGACACTGCTCTTTGCCGTGGTGCAATGAAGCCTCAAACACATAATTGTCAGAGGAAAACAAGAAGTATCAGAAAATCCTAAAATAATACATTTAAAAAAAACTTTAAAGATAATTTTTGTAAAATTTGCTCATTTTGTGTGATTCAGTGATTACTAGATAATTATGCAACTATCACTGACTTCCATCACTATCTAATTTTAGTAATTCTGTCACTCCCTAAATAAACCCCACGCCTATTTTAAGTTGTTCCCCATTCCCACTCACAGCTCAAACAACCACTTATATAAACTTTAGTTTTTTGGACATTTTATGTAAATGTACTTATACACCACGTATGTTGGGGGGTGTTTTTGTTTCTGGCAATACTAGGGACTGAATCCAGAGCTTTTGCTCTAAGCTACATCCTCAGTGCATTTTTATTTTTTTAAATTATTACTTTATTTTATTTGATATTATTAATGTTATTTTGTCTTTCTGAGACAGAGTCTCACTATGCAGTTCAGACTGGCCTGGAGCTCACTTTGTAGCCCAGGCTGGTCTCAAACTTGCTACGGTTCTCCTGTCTCAGCCTCCCACAATAATTAAATTACAGGCCTGCACCACCAGGCCCAGCATTATGATTTTGTTTTTGTTTTGTTTGAGATGAGGATCTCACGGTGTTGCCCGGGCTGGCCTCAAACTCACAATCCTGTCTCAGCCTACCCAGTGGCTAGGATGGTAGTGTGCTCTGCATGACCTGGTGACACTGGGTTTTTGAGATTCCCCCACAAGAAAGGAAAGTGGGGATCAACTGACAATAAACTACAAATTCAGAGGGGCAATCACAGTGTACCCGTTATCAACATAACCTTTTTCAGAGAAGGCATTGAGAACGGAGAGGTGTAACTTGGGGAGTAATAAATGTTTGTAGGGAAAAGAAGGGACCAAGACGCAGGCATTATTGCTGTTTTCATTAGTAGTAATAGAATTACTAGTGCTGAGAACCAAAACTAGGATCCTATACGTGCTGTGCAAACACGGAGCTACATCCTCAGCCCACAGCGGCTTGTAAATGAGCGCAGGAGACAAAGACCAAATCCAGCCGGGCTGCTTCTGTCAGTATGCTTTCCTGAGGTGAATAATGAGATTCAGGGTGACAAAGGCTCTCCCTGCACTTGAGCCCGAAGGGACAAGTCCAAGTTTGAGCGACACTGATTTTGATGCAGCTTGAAGGGTTTCTGAGCCTCAGGACGTGCTGCAGGATGTATCGAAACACCATGCCTCTCTCATCACCAAATCTTATCCCACACTGGGGTATGCCGGGCCGGTTTTGTTTTCCATTCAGCAGTTGCTGGGCCCCGGGGCTGCTTCCACTTTTCAGCTTCTTGGACAGCAGCACTGACATTGGATTGCATTTCTCTTGGGTTTGAACCTAACCGACACCATTTTTGCAAAGTTCTCAAACAAGTGAAATTAATATGATGTTTAGAGGGGTTATACAGAGCACTACTGCAACTGTCTTTAAAAGATAATAAAGTAATATTTAGCATTTAGGACAGCCGTAGGGTGCAAGATGGGAAAAGGAGGCCCACAGCTGGACACAGGGGGATGCTGGGTAGTGGGTTTACGGGTCTTTATTTTCCATTACACTTCACACCTTACATAGGCCTTAGATAGTGAGCGCGCGCACGCACACACACATTCCCTCACCCCACCCCGCATCCCACTCCACCCCATACGGGGGATTGTGCATGGCATGAGGCCTTCACACTGCACTACATACCTGACCTTTATTTATTTATTTATTTATTTTTTTGACAGGGTCTCCCTAAATTGCTGCGTTACCCGGCCTGGGCTTTCCAGGGTGCCGGGGGTGGGGGGTGGGGGGTGGGTGGGGGGGGTGGTTTCCAGGCATGCGCCCCACGCCCAGCCTGAAGCAGGCGTCATAAGTGAAAGCCTGTCTTCAGCGCCCTAACAGGTCCCCTGGGTTCCCACGACCTCGAGGTGGCCTCCACCGGGACAGGAGGGACCCCGCGGCGCCCACCCCCTCGCGCAGGCGCATCGGCCGGCGATGCCCCCCCCCCCACGCACGCGGGCGAGGCTGCAAGGCGGGGCGCAGGTGCTGGCGCCAGCTCCCCGCGTCCTTCTGGGGCCCCTGATCCCTCGGCCTCTCTGCTTTCTGGCGCCGCGTCCTCATCCCGCGACCCCGGGATGTTTGTGTTGTTGCCACCCGCAGGGGCGCGCAGAAGGGCGCTGCGGGCGAGCGGGGCTCCGGATGCGACCTCGGGGCGCAGTGCAGGGCTGAGGCCCCGGCCCGAAGTCCTCCGAGAATTAGCCGGCTGCGGCCCGCCGGGGTGCTCAGCCCCCGAAAGCGCAGAATGCGGCGCTGTGGCCCAGCGGTCGGAGGCACCTCTGCAAATGCAGGATGGAGGCTCCACTCTCAACTGCTGGACTGGAAATACTCACCAGACCCAAACACACCAGGGCTCCGACTCCTAGCTGGAGGCAGCTGCGCCAGGTGAGGCTTACGGCACCCTGCAAAGGTTTCCGAGCCAGGTGGCCCCCAAGGTCTAAAGGGGCTCTGCAGTCCTGGCCTTTGCCCCCCGGACAGGGCCAGGCGCAGGGGCTGAGCCCGGAGCCCGGGAGGTCTGGGTGGACAGCCGCTCAGCGCTGCCTGCCCGGGACTCAATTCCAATGTTTACCTATTTTTTAAACTAATGTAAATGTTAAAACGGAAGCGGTGTGAAATGTAAACACAAACTTACCGCTTGGGTAGGACTGTTTCACTCTTCAAATTTTAAAATCCAAATCGAAACACGTACAACCCACACTGTATTTTTAGACAATAGCACAGCAAAAAATGGTGAACTATGTTATTAGTAATTTTGGGATTGACATACTATGTTAGATATGTTGAAATAAATATATTTAAATATTAGCTGTTGTTTTTATTTTTTGTAATGTAGCTATTAGAAAATGGAAATTTTATATGTGGTTCTTGTCAGAATATATACATTTTGCTTGTTTCTGTGCTAGGGACCAAACAGCGAGCTTCACACACGCCACGCACATTTGGGGCACTTGCACTACACCCCAGCTTCTCTTTGCTCTTCTGCTGGCCAGGCATTGCCCGCAGCACAGAAAGGTTCCCCCTTCAGGCACGCTGGTCATCCCCACCTTCGCACTGGCTCAGGCGTCCCACCTGGGCACCACCCTGAGCCGCAGAGGCTAAACCATCTCTTCCTCCAGACAAAAAGTCTTGGTGGTCTCCCTCAAGGGCCAGAAGCCATCTTTCGCCCTAACAGCTACTATTCATACAATCCTCAGCACTTGGTCTTGGGGAGCGAATTTTCTCTTAACGTCAATTTTTATGTTAAAGGCAATAAATAATTTTATTTTAGCCAGTGCTTTGCATATAAAGAAAATTAGCAGGTGATTTTGATGATACTCATTTTGAGGGGTATGGGCATACCTGACAAAAGAACTATTTTTGTCTTCTCATACACCTAAAAGAGGGCCAGAATTTTAGTTCAGCAGCTTAAGCACCTGCCTGGCGAGCGGGAGGTCCTGAGTTTGATCCCTGGTACAAAAAAAAAAAAAAAAAAAAAAAAAGCCTAAGAAACATTTTCACTGTGCACATGAGGAAACAGGCTCAAGAGTTTGTTTTGTTGAGGTCATGAGGTTTATTAGTGTGGCCCTGATTTTTCTGGCTCCTAATCTAATACTGTTGCCTCCATGCTTGCATTCAGTCTCACATGAGAACGCAGATGACAGTTAATGCTGAATAAATACAGCAAGGAGAGATTAGGACTGGAAGAGTGAGCTGGGCTGGGCTGCTTCATGGCAGTCTCTGAGCAATACGTAAGTTTTGGCTAAAGCAGAAAGGCATATGTGGACACTTGGTATCCTCTGAAAACCAATCAGGAGATTTTTTTTCTCCATTTTATTTTATTTTATTTTTACTTTTTTTTTTTTTTAAAGTAGTAAAATACAACAGAACAAGACAGAATAAAGCCAACTGAGACAGTGTAGTGAAATTGATATGGAACTTCACAGCAGGTTACCGGGATAACAGTAATAGGTATCACAGTATATCTCGTTATCTTCACAATAGTTGTTCTTTCAATCACGTATATCAAAATAAAATGAAATACAGAATATTATAGAACCTATCAAAACATAATATTGAATAGAGCAGTACCATTAATCAGAATAAAGCAAAACAGTAATATTTGCCTTCAAAGAGATGGTAGAAGGAAATCCCCTTATTTGCTATGGTCAACCTCCCAGGAGATGCTCAGATTTCTGGTTCCCATTTGCTAATGGGGGACAGGGGAAGTGGGATGTTTGACTCTAGGCCGTGCACCAGGAGGTTCACTATTGCTTACAGGGAGGCAGGCTGCTTGCTTGGTTTCCCAGCGTCCTAAGTTCCAACATGGCGAGGATCTCAGGAGACACTGGTGGTTCTCCCCCTGGAAGGGCCGCAGTCTGCCACACCGCAGCACAGGAGATTTTTTTAAAAAATGAAAATACAATGATGCACTTAAACATTTGAGCTTTTCCTCTTTTTTTTTTTTTTTTTGGTCTTTTTCGTTTTTACTGGTACCAGGGATCGAACTCACGACTGCCTGCTTGTAAGGCAGGCACTTATGCTGCTGAGCTAAATCCCCAGCCCCAAGCTTTTCCTCTTTTCTGTGCTGGGGATAAATTCAGGGGCTGGCACCTGCTAGGTAGGTGCTTTACCACTAAGATACATTCCCAGGTCTAAGTATTTCTTACAGGAAAACAGCTTTATCAGGATAGAATTCTTATACCATAAAATCCTCCTTTTTGGTTATTTGTTTTGCTTCTTTGAGACAGGGTCTCGCTGTGTAGTTCAAGCTGGCCTTGAACTCATGGTGATCCTCCTGTTTCACTGCCCAAGTGCTGCAATTACAGGGACATGCCACCCCAGAATTCTCCCTTTTGCAGTGTAAAATTTAGTGGGGCTTAGTGTATTCCCAGAGTTGTGTAACTATCACCTCTAGCTGCAGAACATTTCGTCCTAGAAAAAACCCCACACCCACTGGCAGTCATTCATTCTGCCCCAACCCCAAATCCCTAGCAACTGCTAATCTGTTTTCTGTCTCTATGGATTTGCTTGTTCTGGACATTTCATATAAATGGATTCAAACTATTGAAGACCCCTGCAGCGGGTTCCAGTCTCCTGCCTGGATCACGGCACACTGCAGGAGAGAGCAAGAAACAACTTAGGGATGCAGGCAGGGATCTGGGATGACAAGTTGCTGAGTTGTTGTGGGCACAGAAGGCCATGAGCTACTCAGTATCTTGCTTTTTGTTCATTAGCATAATTTTTTTTTAAAGAGGAAAGTTCTGTTTAGCTTACAGTTTGTAGAGGTTTTAGTTCACAGTCCAGTGGCTCCAAGCAGGCTGGCATGGCAAATGAAGCATGTTTTGAAGGTTCACCTGTGTGACAGCAAGATAAGTGCTTCATTCCTTAAGTCTGGATAGATATTTCATTACTTGAATATAACACATTTTGATTATCCATTCATCAGTTATAGACATTTGGGGTTGTTTCCAATATTTGGCTATAATGTATAACATACTCCTACGAACATTTCCTGTACAGGTTCTTGTATGTTTTCAATTTTATATACAATTGTAGTATATTTACGATTGGAATTACAGAGTCACATGATAATTCTGTGTTTAACATTTTGAAGAACAGCCAATCTGTTTTCCAAAGTGGCTATACCATTTTATTTACTTTTTAAATGTCTTTAACTTTTTTCTTAGCACATTTTTGCAGAACATAATGATTACGTGCAGAGTTGGTACCTATACATGGCACATCTTAATTCTTTCTTTTTCCTTCTCTCTTCCACCTGCCTTTGTATTTGGCTAGCATCAGATTCATTTATTTATCTTAGAAGTCCTTACAAAGTTAATTACACATACAGATTAACAGCCAGACTGACAGGCCAAAAACCATATAAAACATTTAAGACAGTTATATTAAATCAAGGTATACTTTCAGATATATTGCTCATAGTGGATTACAATAACTTTTTTCTCCCCTTATCTGTTTTTATTTTGCTCTTAATATGTTGAGTTTTTCATATAAGAGGAAACATGATATTTAAGCTTGTGTGTCTGATGTACTTCACGTGACATTATGGTCTCAAGGTGAGGCCATCTTCCCACCATAGCTCAAGTTTGTCCTTCCTTATGACAGACTAGTACTCCACCATGTGTAAATACATTTTACCCATTCATCTGCTGCTGGATATATAAGATGATTCCTAGATTTAGCTATTATGAGTTGTGCTGCTATAAACCTGTATAAACTTATCACCATGGTATCTGGAGGGGGAGATATCTGGAGGGGGAACACCTGTAGCAAATGGAATTTGTACTTTTGCTTTTTTGAGGAATCTCTGCATTGATTTCTATGATTTTATCACACACTCAACCATGAAGAAGTGTTCATTTTCCCTGTGGCCTCTCCAGCATTTCTTATTAGTTGATTTTTTGATGATTGTTACTCTTTCTGAAGTAAGAGGGAATCTCTGTTGGCTTAATTGGCATTTCTTGAATGGCCAGTGATGTTGAATTTTTTTCATGTATTTATTGCTTGTTTATATTTTTTCATCTGAGAAGCATCTATGTTTTTCGTATGCTCACTTTTTGCTTGGATCCTTGAATTTGGGAGGGTCTGATTATTTTTAGTTCTTTATATATTATAGCTGTTAGTCCTTTGAGGAGTAGCTGGCGGATTTTCCCCCATTATCTCTTTCCTCATGGTGGGCTTTTTGCTATATAGGAACTTTGTGATTGTGATAGCATTTGTTGTTGTTGTTTGATGATGTTATGGATTAAGAACTGGTGGTCAGCTTAATGCCAGCTGGATTACAACAGCATGGCACTGAGGGAGGATGCTCCACCTGAGGAAAGTTGCCAGGATAAATAGGTGGAGAAGAAGGGAGGTGTTGAGGGTTGAGACGTTAAGGCATTATTGTGTTGTTGCATTGAGGTGTTGTGGGTTCTCTTACAAGTTGCTGTTTGAGCCGTTGGTTCTCCTGGAGAAGCTCTGGTCCTCACATTGAGCACTGCTTCCTGGCTCCAGAGGGGAAGACGTGTACTGCTTGGTCTCCAGGATGAACTTGTCATGCTGGCTTCCTGGCATGTACCCGACTGTGCTTATCGTCGGAGGAGCTCAGGGCCTCCGTGTCGCCGAGGATGACTATGGTGCTTTTCAGGACAGCCCTGGTCTTTGTTGTATGACTTCTCGGCTCCAGTTGTTTTGTGTTTTGCTAGTACCATGCTGTTTTTATCATTGTAGCTTTGTAGTATAACTTGAAATCTAGTGATGTGATTCCCTCTGCCTTGCCCTGTTGTCTAGAGTTGCTTTTGCTATTGCTGTCTCTTTCTGGTTTCATTTGAATTTTAAGATTGCTTTGTCTAGTTCTGTGAGAAATGCTATTGGCCTTTTTGATTTAGATTGTGTTAAATCTATAAAACAGTTTGAGAAGTATGGGCCATTTTGACTATATAGTCTATCCAGGAACAAGAGATATCTTTCCATTTTCTGACCTCTTCTATCTCCTTTTTTCAGAGTACTACAGTTTTCATTGTAAAGGTCTTTCAGTTCCTTGG